ACACACACACACACACACACACACACACACACAGCCTTTTCCCAATATGCGTTTTTGCAATTTACGTATATGCAAAAACGCATAAAAATTGTTTCGATTTCGTCTACACATCCGGAGGTCCAATTTTTTTCTGCTCCAGAGCGAAATTAGTTTCGCGGGACGATAAACGAGTTACAGTAAATCTTCGGCTTAAAAAAAATCTTCGAATAACTCTGAAGACTATTTTGGAATCGTAGTTGTTCGGAACTTGCAAACTGGTTGGATATTTGTTCCAGGATCCTGAAAACTTTTTTGCATTTTCAAATGAATAAAGCACACTTAGCTAGTTGCGCGCAGCAGAACATACATAAAAGGGCTGCATGTTACAAAATCTGATCACTGGGCATTGCAGGTCTGCCGAAAATGTACGACGCTTGGCGGCGTATATTTCGGTATTTCACACCTGCTGAACGGATCCGCTATGAGCGAGTATCGAAACCCTGGATGGAGCTGTTGAATGAGTACTGGAGAACGGTAGTTTCGATAGATACACACGAGCTGTGCGACGGGGTTCCAGCAAAATATTGGTCCGATTGCGTAGCAGCTGCTCTAGGTAAGATACATTGCTGTAGTGCAGCGAGTGAACAGGCATTTTTTGGAAAAAATTATGGCGACTTTTTCCAATAAATAGAAGCGCACACCAGGATAGACTGTGTAATCATGCGTTTTGAGCAGTTCCGTCCAGCCGATATTTGCTGTTAAGAATTTTCACTCTTTTGCACTTGGGTGCATGCAAAAATAATTGATATGTTATCTAATTTCTAAGCCTTGAGATTTCCCACTAAAAATCCCACCTACTGGTACGTGAAACGTAAGTGTATGTTAAAATTTAATTTGAAACCTTTAGCACTTGGGTGAAGACATCCTTCTGAATATGGACGAAGACACTCTTTTGCACATGGATGAAGACATTTTTTCAAAATTTCAACTTCCTAGTCTGGCTTCGGAGTTAGCGACTTTTGCTCTAAAAATTTTGCTTGAGCCTACTTGAAACTTAGGTATACATGATAGATGAACTCGAGTTTGTGAGATCTTGCATAGGCAGACAAAATCGTGAAAACTCAGCCACCTGGCTCATACGTTTTCGAGTTAACAAATTTCCCCCCGAGGATTTTCAAGCTGCCACACTAGAGACCTGGGAGTACGTGACGACTAAATTTGAATTCACGGGATCGCGTGCGGGTAGGCGACTTTACTTTAAAATTTCAGCTTGCTGACTTTTCTGGCACCCGCTATAATAATTTTTTCTCGCCAAAACTTTCCTGGGCCATGTGTGAAATCCAGGCATAAGTGTCACAATTGAGCGAGAAACTCTACCCTAAAATCTCAACTTCCTAGCTTTTGTCGTTCCCGTACGGGAACGACAAAAGCTAGGAAGTTGAGATT